TGTTTTATGTGGTGCACACATACCACATAGATGTATTCTCTCATATCTAGGCCTAAATTTACCGCTCACAGCTTATCAGAGTGAGCTGAGCTCATGGCGTAGATCTACGGTTTGGACCTTCAGCGTAAAGCCGTAGATCTATGGCACAGACCCTGAAAGGGTTAATAAAGTACTGTAACTGAATACTGTATTTTATAAAAGCATATTTTATTTAAAATATGGTTATGTCTTTATGATATGGCTGAATGCTTTACACTTGCCACAGCAGCGTCCATGCTCACTACTGGTTAATATTTGTTGTTTATGTTCATAATTTTTTTCCATGTACGTAATTATTGTATCTACTCATTTTTGCTTTCTCTTTTTTCTCTTTAAATTTATTTTAATTCATTTTTCTTCTCAGTTCTTTTATTTATTCAGTATAACCATGCAAATTTTCTAACTCAGACTTTCGAGCTCATGTCACTTTATCCATACACAAGGGTTGGTACACCCACTCCTTCATGCAGTCTTCTATCTGCTTCACTTCTTATTTACCCTGGCTACCATTTAACCCCTTGACTGTCGCAACCCCCAATCCTGAGGTGTCTCCTGGTGTCGCAAAATTTAAAAAAAAAAATTATTTTTTCTTATGAAATGATAGAGAACCTTTTCCCAATTGTAATGACACCAAAAAAACGAAATTTGATGGAAAACTGACGGAATTACGCTCTCGTGAAGTTAGCGACCTCGGCGATATTTACAAATCAGCGATTTTGCCCACTTTGAGCCCTATTTTCGGCTAATTCCAATGTTCCAGTCGACCAAACTCATAGCTATTTCTTTAGAACTCCAATTTTTTCTATCGACTGAGTACAAGAAACTGCCCATTTATCGATTTCAACTACCCAATAACGTGGTCAGAAATTTGCAATTTGGCCAATTTCACGAAAATTAAAAAAATATGACAATTTCAAAATAAGGTTCAGAATGAACAATGCAGACATTCCTGACTCTAAAATAACATTTTCTTTGTTCATCAGTCACGTCTCCAGGCCCCTCTAATATTACTCTTGCTTTCTATTTTGAATTTTTATTCAAACAAAAAATAGAAGATTTACTGTTATGCAGACTACTGTAATATTGTAATAGTTGTACAAATAATGTCAACCCATTCATGACTGCATATTACAATGGCTAGTTGGACATTTATTAGACAATGACATCATTTGTTTACTTTTGAACATTGGCAAAAATCAAACATTTCCCCTACTTTGAGCTCCATTTCCAGGTTCTTTTTATAGTAAAATCACCTCCATTTCTATAATATATTTTCCATTCTATCAAATGAGACCAAGAAAACGAGAATACAACCATAAATACTATACAAAAATAGACCACAAATTCGGCATTTTAATAAAAAAAAACGGTCGGAGTTTTTTTTTCTCATTATGCACTGCGTGCTCCAGGATTTTTTTTATATGTTGCACACTGACCACACAGACCCATTCTCTCACATGTTGGCCTACCAGCTTTCTCCTGCTTGATTTGAAGTCGCTAGAATTTATGTGCACACTGGTCCCTCAATTATCGTCCTTAATCCATTCCTGGAAGTGGAACTATTATCGAAATAGACGATTTTCGAATCCATTTTCCCCATAAGAAATAATGTAAATCCAATTAATTCATTCCAGACACCCAGAAGTATCAACAACAATTTTTTATTTTTTACCTAAAAGATAGATTTACATGCACAAAAGAATGAACATTCAACATGACAGTTACCTTTATTGAAGGCTGTTGTTGATGAATGGAAGACAGGGAGGAGGAGAGGGAAGAGAGGTAATTGTTTGGAAGGGGAATCCCCCTCCATATGACTCTAGTTCACTTCAGGGGTCACTTCCCTAGCATAAATATAGATTTACATGCAGAAAAAAATGCCAAATAAATGTAAAGCACTAATAAAATGTATAAATGGACATTGGTAATAGGGGTAGTTGATGAGTGGAACGGTCTGCCTAGTAGGGTGATCGAAGCTAAAACATTGGGTAGTTTCAAATTTAGGTTGGATAAATACATGAGTGAGGGGGGTTGGATTTGAGTCGGACTTGCACCTGAGCATATTGCTTGGGTAGCATTTGTTCTGTTAGTGGGTTGGATTTGTGAAGGACCGGCCTAGTATGAGCTAGCAGGCCTACTGCAGTGTTCCTCCTTTCTTATGTTCTTATTGGAGACTTGTTTGTGTGAGGGAGGGATGGCAAGTTTATTGTTGGAGAATATGACACTAATATCAACTCTACGGCTTATTTATCTATCACAATTCAAATAATATGACATAATAAACAATATTAATAACATAGAAACATGGAGTATGCTCTAGAATGAATAAAATAAGTCATTACATATGTCACGAGAGGTGTTGTGTTGTTGTTGGGTATATAAGGGCCACTGAGAGTAAGCTGTCCATAATGGTGGTGAAGCAGCAGCTGAGGAGGTGGTGTTTTCTGTAGCCCTATTTAACTCCAACAACATTGGAGGAGTTGGTAGAATCACTGAATCACTAAAGAAGGAACCCTCTACTACCATCACTATGACCTTCTACCACTATTACAACTGTTACCACCATCACTACTACCTCCTACCACCATCAACCACTATCACAACTGCTTCCACTCTACCACCACCACCTTTGTATTTTTCTACAAACTTTTTCATAAATTATGTGTTTCTCACATTCTTTACCAAAGGGCTGGCACTAGAAGCTTTCTTTGGAGCCATGGTAGCTTATTTAGCACTTGCAAGCACTAAAATCAATGGAATACACTGTATTATGAAATATTTCGTAGGAGCATGTGAGGGGACTGTCGCTCACTGGTAAACAATGGCACACTGGCTGGGAAGGCAGGCCCAGGCGGCTCAGAGCGTGAGTACCCGTCCCGGACGAAGGACAATTAGCGAGTTAACGGACCATTTGCGAGCCAATGTTTAGACGAAATAACGGGACTATTTCCGAAATGGACGACTTTCAGGCCGGATGATTATTGAGGGACGACTGTATATATACGTCAAACACGGTACTTTGTAAGACGTATATATACGACCAAAACAGTCAAAGGGTTAATGCACCAGCTGCTTCATCCATGACTGTTTGTTCTCAACTTGCGTAAATTTCTCTCTCTCCTTTTTTTCCCGGTCATGCCCAGGATTCTCCATTAAACCTCAGTTTAGCATTCAGTTTCTGTCTTCTCCAAGTATGTTAATTACATTTAAGGTACAGTTATTTTCAGCAGTGGTTTCTCACTTGTAATTGTTTTTTCCTCTGCCAAACTGCATACACTGAGACTTACACATTGCTCCATTTATTCCTGTCATACACTGAGTTCAAATTCCTCTCTATTTTTCTTCATCCTTTCTTGTAACACCATCTACATATGCATGGAGACATTACACAGGCTTAGAATACCAGTCACTTATGACATCATTAACTCTAATACTTAATGTTCTTTCTTCATAAAAACTTTTCACTTCATTTAATATCTGTTCCATACTTAATGTTCTTCTTTCATAAAAACTTTTCACTTCATTTAATATATGTTCCATAAAAGGCCATACACACTTTAGCCTCTCACATGTCATCTGATTAATTTTTTTCTTTAACCCTTTGAGGGTCGCCAGGCCCTCTCAGACACTTGTTCTCAGGGTCGCCAAATTTTAAAAAAAAAAAATTATTTTTCTTATGAAAATATAGAGAATCTTTTCCTGATCATAATGACACCAAAAGTATGAAATTTGATGGAAAACTTACGGAATTATGCTCTCGCGAAGTTAGCAGTCTCGACGATGTTAACGCATTGGCGATTTTGCCCACTTTGAGGCCTATTTTCGGCCAATTCCAGTGTACTAGTTGACAAAAATCATAACTATTTCACTAAAACTCCATTTTTTCTATCGAATGAGTACAAGAAACCACCCATTTACTGATTTCAACTATCCAATAAAGTGGTCAGAATTTAACAATTTTGCCAGTTTCACACAAATTTCAAAAGATGCCAATTTCCAAATAGGGTCCAGAATAAACAAGAAAGACATTCCTGGCACTAAAATAACATTTCCTCTGTTCATTAGTCACATCCCCACGCCCCTCTTACATTTCTTTTGCTTTCCACTTTGAATTTTTATTCTCACAAAAAATAGAAGATTTACTGTTATGCAGATTACTGTATTAGTGTAGAAATGATATAAATAATACCAGCGCACTTGTGAAAGAATATTAGCGTCACCAGTTGACGTGTATTGGACACGTGGCATGATTTGTTTACTTTTGAACTTTGGCAAAAATCAAACATTTCTGCTACTTTGAGCTCAATTTCAAGGTACTTTTCATTGTGAAACCAATCAAAATCATCTCAATTTCTGTAATATGTCGTCCATTCTATAAAATAAGACCAGGAAAACTAGAATACATCCATAAATACCATACGAAAATACAGTGCAAAGTCGCTGTTTTAAACCAAAAACACGGTCAAAGTTTTTTTTTCTCATTACGCACTGTGTGCTGCAGGATTTTTTTTTATACTGCGCACACTGACCACATAGACCCCTTCTTTCATATGTAGGCCTACCAGCTTTCTCCTGCTAGATTTGAGGGCGCTAGAATTTATGCGTACTAGTACGTCAAAAAGCCTGTTGCGTAAGCCGTACTAGTACGGCCGAAACCCCGAAAGGGTTAATGGTATCTCCTACTGTGGCAAGGTGACTTAAAGAAGAAAACTCATTCACCATTATTCATTCAGTCACTGTCTTGCAAAAAGTATGCTGATATCACAATTCAAATTTCCTGATTTCTATCTAGTTTATATATAAAAAATTTACAGTGGTTCAAATTTAACCTATGTATTTGTGTGTAGTAGAATTAAGTGTTAGTAAGCAAAGAAATAGAAGTTATTACATTAGAATATATAATACATACCTTAAAACTAAAAATAATATATTGCTAATATTAAGCTACTTTTTGTATGCAGAATGAGGCTGGAAACAGTCCTCCAAGTAGCAGCAAGGCCTCTGCTTCCACTCCACTTGTCACAGATTTCTCTGGCATGTTCCGTAATGAGGGGGATTCTTCTTTCTCTTCAAAGCCTCAGACTCCTTCACCCTCAAAGATCACCACCACCAGTAAAGGTAACAAAGATATCATCTGGCAGTAGAATCACTCACATACATTAGTATTATTGATTGTTATGTTCCTTACACTTAAAGCTAAAAGAGTTTTGATAATTTATGCATAATTTATTTATACACTCCAGCTGTCCACAGGATAGCCGAAGTGTACATTGCATTTACCACTCAGGCATATATTAACCCATTCACTCTTGCGACCCTTTGAAATTAAAAGCCCTATTGGTGTTGCAGTCTTAGAAAAAAATGCTCTTCTAAAAGGTTAGAGAAAACATGGAATTATGCAGGTGTGAATTCGGAGATTGGGGGAGCATTTTATGCAGCTGTGATTTTGTCCACTTTGAAGTCCATTTTAGGCCAGCTAACCCAATTCCTGGCTATTTTGCTAAAATTTTTTTCAACAAGTCAGCCATCTCCCACTGAGGCAGGGTGACCCAAAAAGAAAGAAAATCTCCAAAAAGAAAATACTTTCATCATCATTCAGCACTTTCACCTCACTCATACATAATCACTGTTTTTGCAGAGGTGCCCAGATACAACAGTTTAGAAGCATATATAAAGATATATAACATATCCTTCCAAACTGCCAATATCCCAACCCCTTCCTTTAAAGTGCAGGCATTGTACTTCCCATTTCCAGTACTCAAGTCTGGCTATATAAAAATAACCGATTTCCCTGAATCCATTCACTATATATTACCCTGGTCACACTCCAACAGTTCATCAGGTCTCAAAAACCATTTGTCTCGATTCACTCCTATCTAACACGCTCATGCACACTTGCTGGAAGTCCAGGCCCCTCGCCAACAAAACCTCTTCTACCCCCTCCCTCCAACCTTTTTGAGGACGACCCCTACCCCGCCTTCCTTCCCCTACATATTTATACACTCTCTATGTCATTCTACTTTGATCCATTCTCTCTAAATGACCAAACCACCTCAACAACCCTTCTTCAGCCCTCTGACTAATACTTTTATTAACTCCATACCTTCTCCTAATATTTTGCTAATATGTCTTAATTCTATCAACTGAGCACCAGAAACTGTTAATTCATCTATCATAAATATCCTGTAAACTGCCCAGAAGTCTGTAGTCTAGCCAATTTTACACAAAATTCAACAAATTTCAATTTAAAACAGAGTCTAAAATGAACACTGTAGGCATTTCAGCCACTAAATCAACTTCTCTTCTGTTCATTATTCATGTCTCACGGCCTCATCTATATAAACTTGCCCACCATTTTGAATCCATCATCACAAAAACTGAATGGTTGGTTGTGGTTTAGGCCACTTAAATAATTGAAGAAGACCTAATACAAACCCACAAAATAGACCGGAGGAGGAAGGCGAGAGTCCCTAACCTTCCTCAGGAAAATCACCAAAAATCAAACATTTCTGCTGCTTTGAGGCCTATTGCAGGCCATTGCTGGTCTGAAACCAATGAACATTATCTCCATTTCACTACTACCTGTACAGGAGGGCCCTTCATATACAGCACCTTCTTTTCAGTGTTCAACATTTTGGGTGGCTTCAAATTCAGCCATTGTTCATTATGTTCCACCTGCCAGTGAAAATTGACGGCAGGTGGAACAATGGCTCAACTGAAAGTCAATGAAAATGTGGAGTAGGTGCTGTGTATGCGGGGCTGTGTATTCCGGTCAATAAAACCACGAAAACCACCTCAGAAAATGCCTCAGAGTCACTACTTAACCCAAACACAAGGTCAGATGTTAGCTGTTCCCATTGTGCACTGCCTGAGGCAGCATTTTTATTTATTCTCTGAACAACCACCACACACTCATTCTCTTTTGTTTAGCCCAAAATTTACTGACCACAGTATATTTGAGATCTTCATAAGGAACACTGCTTTCAGTGTCATAGATCTCCATGAGAAACAGTGAAAGTTAACCCTGGGCTAGCCAGGTATTATTTTTTAAAGAAGCTTCCAATGGTGTAACATTTTAGTTTCAAGCAACCATCAGTTAATTAAATGAGTTTAAATATATAATGTGAGTGTTTTTGTTTTTCTTATAAATTTGTTTTTTTCTTAAAAATTCCTTTGATCAGTTATGGCATGATTCCTTTGATACCTTGACAGTTATAAACAAAAATTCTTTTTATGCATTCTTCTGTAAATGCAGTATTTCCTAATCTTCTTCTTTCAACACACCGGCCGTATCCCACCGAGGCGGGGTAGCCCAATAGGAAAAATGAAAGTTTCTCCTTTTACTTCTTTCTTTCAACACACCGGCCATATCCCACCGAGACAGGGTGGCCCAAAAGAAAAAAATGAAAGTTTCTCCTTTTACATTTAGTAATATATACAGGAGAAGGGGTTACTAGCCCCTTGCTCCCGGCATTTTAGTCGCCTCTTACAGAGGCAGTAATTTCATGCACTGGTCAGGGAGGTATACCATCTTTTAGGAGTGAAGAAGAGCAGAATGTAAGTGTGGGGGAGGTACGTGAGGCATTACGTAAAATGAAAGGGGGTAAAGCAGCTGGAACTGATGGGATCATGACAGAAATGTTAAAAGCAGGGGGGGATATAGTGTTGGAGTGGTTGGTACTTTTGTTTAATAAATGTATGAAAGAGGGGAAGGTACCTAGGGATTGGCGGAGAGCATGTATAGTCCCTTTATATAAAGGGAAAGGGGACAAAAGAGACCATAAAAATTATAGAGGAATAAGTTTACTGAGTATACCAGGAAAAGTGTACGGTAGGGTTATAATTGAAAGAATTAGAGGTAAGACAGAATGCAGGATTGCGGATGAGCAAGGAGGTTTCAGAGTGGGTAGGGGATGTGTAGATCAAGTGTTTACATTGAAGCATATATGTGAACAGTATTTAGATAAAGGTAGGGAAGTTTTTATTGCATTTATGGATTTAGAAAAGGCATATGATAGAGTGGATAGAGGAGCAATGTGGCAGATGTTGCAAGTATATGGAATAGGTGGTAAGTTACTAAATGCTATAAAGAGCTTTATGAGGATAGTGAGGCTCAGGTTAGGGTGTGTAGAAGAGAGGGAGACTACTTCCCGGTAAAAGTAGGTCTTAGACAGGGATGTGTGATGTCACCATGGTTGTTTAATATATTTATAGATGGGGTTGTAAAGGAAGTAAATGCTAGGGTGTTCGGGAGAGGGTGGGATTAAATTTTTTGGGGGAAACAAATTCAAAATGGGAATTGACACAGTTACTTTTTGCTGATGATACTGTGCTTATGGGAGATTCTAAAGAAAAATTGCAAAGGTTAATGGATGAGTTTGGGAATGTGTGTAAAGGTAGAAAGTTGAAAGTGAACATAATAAAGAGTAAGGTGATGAGGGTGTCAAATGATTTAGATAAAGAAAAATTGGATATCAAATTGGGGAGGAGAGTATGGAAGAAGTTGAATGTTTTCAGATACTTGGGAGTTAACGTGTCGGCGGATGGATTTATGAAGGATGAGGTTAATCATAGAATTAATGAGGGAAAAAAGGTGAGTGGTGCGTTGAGGTATATGTGGAGTCAAAAAACGTTATCTATGGAGGCAAAGAAGGGAATGTATGAAAGTATAGTAGTACCAACACTCTTATATGGGTGTGAAGCTTGGGTGTAAATGCAGCAGCGAGGAGACGGTTGGAGGCAGTGGAGATGTCCTGTTTAAGGGCAATGTGTGGTGTAAATATTATGCAGAAAATTCGGAGTGTGAAAATTAGGAAAAGGTGTGGAGTTAATAAAAGTATTAGTCAGAGGGCAGAAGAGGGGTTGTTGAGGTGGTTTGGTCATTTAGAGAGAATGGATCAAAGTAGAATGACATGGAAAGCATATAAATCTATAGGGGAAGGAAGGCGGGGTAGGGGTCGTTCTCGAAAGGGCTGGAGAGAGGGGGTAAAGGAGGTTTAGTGGGCAAGGGGCTTGGACTTCCAGCAAGCGTGCGTGAGTGTGTTAGATAGGAGTGAATGGAGACGAATGGTACTTGGGACCTGACGACCTGTTGGAGTGTGAGCAGGGTAATATTTAGTGAAGGGATTCAGGGAAACTGGTTATTTTCATATAGTCGGACTTGAGTCCTGGAAATGGGAAGTACAATGCCTGCACTTTAAAGGAGGGGTTTGGGATATTGGCAGTTTGGAGGGATATGTTGTGTATCTTTATATGTGTATGCTTCTAAACTGTTGTATTCTGAGCACCTCTGCAAAAACAGTGATAATGTGCGAATGTGGTGAAAGTGTTGAATGATGATGAAAGTATTTTCTTTTTGGGGATTTTCTTTCTTTTTTGGGTCACCCTGCCTCGGTGGGAGACGGCCGACTTGTTGAAAAAAAAAAATGTATGTAATAATTCAGAATGCTGCTGCTAGTTGGCACAGCCAATGCCAAAACATTCAGTAAGCAGTACACTTGTTTACATCGCTGTGGGAGCAGTTCTCTCGTGCTTGCTTGCATTGTTTTAGTCATTTGGCCAAATTTCTTTTTCCTAACCATGGGTTCTAAGAAAATAAGTGCAAAGGACAGTGCTGAGAAGAAAAAGACAATTTCCATGGAATTAAAGCATGAAATCATAAACATAAGCAAGTGCACGAGTTGTGGACTTAGCCAGGCAGTGCCAGTTTAGTACATCTACGATATGTACGATACTAAAGCTGTATCAGTTATGTTCAGTGATTAAACAAAACAAATTGTATCAGTTAAGTACAGCGGACCCCTGGATTACAACATTAATCCGTTCCAGAGAGCGTGTCTTATACCGAATCTCTTGTAATCCGAATTAATTTTCCCCATAAGAAATAATGGAAATCCAATTAATCCATTCCAGGTACCCAGAAGTATTAAACAAAATAATTTCTTTACATGAAATATACATTTCCCTACACAGAAAACAATGAGACATGCAGAATAAATAGATAATAAAATGACACTTCCCTTTATTGAAGATGTATTGATGAGATGGCAGGAGGGGAGAGGATGGAGGAGTTTACAATTGTTTGGAAGGGAACTCCTACTCTATAAGGACTCCATGTA